CGCCGCCGCCGCCGCCGCCGCCGCCGCCGCCACCGATCGGCGTCATCGTCTTCGCCCGACATCGCCTGGCGTCATCATCATCGTTATCATCGTAAGTTAGAAAAGTATGGTTAGCTAGTCGGACAAAATAGATTGATTAATTGGTTTATCAATCAATCGATCTCTTTTCTAACATAATTAATGGATATCTTTCCAACTTAGAATGCCGCCACCGTCACCACCACCGCCGTCGTCTCCGCCCGACATCGCCTGGCATCGTTGTCACGTCGTAAGTTGAAAAATTTAGTTAGCTAATCGAAAAATTTCGATTGATTGATTGATTGATTGATTGATCGATCAATCGATCCCTTTTCTAACTTAGTGAACTATGTTTTTTTAACTTAGGATGTCGTCGCCGCCGTCACCGCCCAACGTCGTCGTTTTCGCTCGGCGTCGCCTAATGTTATCGTCGTCGTCATCGTTGTAAGTTAATAAAGTATGGTTAGCTACGTTGAAAAGAAAATTAATTGATTGATTAATCAATCCATCGATCTCTTTTCTTCTTAGTTGACTATGTTCTTTTATTTAGGATGCCGCCGCCGCCGTCGCCCGGCGTCGTCGTCTTTGCCCGGCGTCGCCTCATCATTGTCATCATCGTCGTAAGTTAGTAAAGTATGGTTAGCTACGTGAAAAAGAAAATTGATTGATTGATCAATCAATTGATTGCTTTTTTAACTTAGTTGACTATGTTTTTTTTAACTTAGAATGCCGCTGCCGCTGCCTACTACTAAAACTTCTTGAACAATATTTTTAATATTATCTATGTTTAGTTCACTTGATCTCTCATCTAATAAATTGATCAAGATTATAGATACTTCCAGGAAAGCATTACAACGCAGTATCCCCCTTCTCTCAACTGTCTTCTTGCTAGTCAGAATGATTCTATTAGGCTGCTCACACTGCCTATCAACAGATACTCTATGCATATTTACTCTAGCGATGTTAATTGATTCAAATGAAGTTCTTTCCGCCAAAATATTAGATGAACTAGACCGCTTGACAAGACCACGGTCTCGCAGAATCACTTCCGCTGCTGCCCTCTATCGGTAATGTAGGAATAATTTGCTACTTAACTCGGTCACGGTTCACAAGTTTACAATACGCATGCACAATCAAATAGCAAAGCAAGCAGATATGTCCCAGAAACCTCCATCAGCAATTAGCCGAAAAATAAAACAGGAAAATTTCACACCAGAGATATAAGGTTGCAGTAATCGAAGACTTACATATAGCAGAATATTAAACAGACACTGCTCTCAACCGCAGTCCTGAAAAAGACGCCCGCACAGGGCAGCAACCAGTAGAAAAAGTAAGAAATAATAAATAAAACGTGTGCAATACTCACGCAAACATACAAAGCGAGGTTATTTGAACTGTCCGCATTCATGATTTTGTAGAGATCTTTGTAAATCAAATAAAATCTTCAAGCTAATTCCGAGGAAGAATGACACGCTCTTTCGTTTTTGACGTCCAATATTCGGTATTAAATGTAAAAATAATTGGAATTGTCCGATTTTATATATATTTTGTGTGTGTGTGTGTGTGTGTGTGTGTGTGTGTGTGTGTGTGTGTGTGTGTGTGTGTGTGTGTGTGTGTGTGTGTGATTATTACTCCGAGAATCGCGATTATGGGAAAAAACCGGAAAGAATTATGATAACAAATACAATGCAGTTTGCATCACGCTCGTGAATGCAGTTGCAAAATTTCGTCGGTCGTCGTCGTCCGGCATTGTTGTTGTTATGGCCCTTCGTTGTCGTTATCACCCAATTGTCAGCCAACGTCGTCATCCGGTGATGTCGCCGTGGTCATTATCGCCTGACATCATCACCTTGCGTTGTAGTCGTCGCCCGACGTCGTCGCTGTCCAGTTATCATCATTGTCATTATTGATGTCGATAACATGGAATTGTATCATCATGCTTGTGCATTATCCCTTCTTCTTCTCTCCCCTCTCTTTCTCCATCCTCCTTCCTCCCTCTCTCCCTCCCTCTCTCTCTCTTTCTTTCTCTCTCTCTCTCTTCTAACTTAGCTAACGATATTTTTCTAACTTAGGATGGTTCAAGGTTAAGGTCCAGTTTGTACTTTGTGCGATACAATTTTTCTTTCAACTTGTCTCTGACTGTACAACTCAACTGAGTCTCTGTATCAAGGCTTTGAATTTAATAATAAATTGAGTAACTCCTTGCGTTGTATCAAAACTCCTCATGATCATTTGCTCTTACCTACGTGACGTACAGAACTTTCTAAGCAGTCTTTCATCTGCTGCGCGGTTAAGTTAGAATGGTTAAGCTGGAATAGCATTCTGCGGGATATTCGTTGTGCCACGTCCTTGTAATTTCACAGACAAACTATATAATTATCTATTAAACACATGTTTGTAACTCCTTGCGTCACACAATGTAGAGATCGTTTGCTTATTTATACATTTCATATTTCTTTATTATTATCCTATACTACTTGGAATTTAACAGATTCACTACCCGATACATTTAGTTTAACATCTTTAACCGATATGACAATTCACTTCATAATTGAAATGAGATTATTCCTGAAACATAAAAAGAAATTTCATTGATTGATATACAAGAATAATGTTGATAATTCCAAAAAAATACAATTTTCTTGTATTTTAAATAATAAGAAAGAAACGAAATTAGTAAAATTTAGTACTATTAAATATGTTGGATCAAATGAGTATTATATTGATATTGAAACGGAAAAATTTAATGTTGGTTTAAACCCATTAGACCAGCAAACAAAAAATGGTTCATTAATTTAACTGAAAGATTTATCCGACTGTCTCTAATTTATTGCAAATGGGTAGTAAATTTAGTCTTCCGGACTCTCATAATAAAGCACATACGATAAGAGAATTCATCAAAAATATTGAAAGTTGTTCATTATATATTTCGAAAATAAAATTGATTTAATTAAAATTAGAAATATAGCTATCTCAGAATTTCATCGTTTTCTTCATAATAATCCACAGATGAGAAATACTGAAACGAAAATTAACAAATAATTAACTACACGACACAATGGTGTAAAGAGGATGAAAATGTGTGTTTTCATACGTACCGATAAAGGCAATGTGACGGTAGCCATGAAATTATCTTTTTATAATCATAAAAGTAAGAGCTTCTAAACGATATCGACACATACTCTGTAGTAAAGAAGAATTTGACATTAATGTTAGAAAGACAACAATAATATGTTACAAAAATTGGTATAAATAAGAATTTATTTCAGACAAAAAATTTTTTAGTTTCCGTGTGGCTCAAATCTGCCTAAAACTTATAGGTTACCGAAGATACATAAAGACGGTATTCCGTTTAGAATCATTGTGTCTTCCATAAATACATTCTATATCCAATAGCTAAATTCCTATAAAACATCATTTCGGAAATATCTCTCCTGCAAGAATTCACATAAAAAATAGCTTCGATCTTTATAAATCTTTAGCTGGATTAATTATTGAATTATCGGAGATGATGGTTTCTTTGGATGTGACTTCTCTTTTTTAACATCCCGCTAGAATAGACAACGCCGATAGACAGCATCTTAATAAAATGGAACTACATAAAACGGGTCACAAAATACCTAAGGTTAAGTTTGCAAATGCAATAGAATTTATATTAATATCTACATATTTCTACATACATACACATAATTCTACAAAGAAATCATCTATAAACAGATTCACGGCTATGGGCTCCCTTCTATCACCGATTATTTCGTTATGGTTGATTTAGAAGAGAAGGGTTTGAATTCTCTCAATTGTCATATCTCTGTTTATTATAGATATGTTGATGACATATTTATGATTGCTCCAATTGATATGATTTAACATTGTAAATGTAGACACATTTAATAATCAACATGAAAGAATAAAATTCACAATTGAATATGAAGAGAACTATTTTGAGTTTTCTTGATATATCTATTATCAATAAAGATAAAAATTATAAATTATAGATTGATAACACAAAAAAAGATTCTCAGGTAGATATTTGTCTTTTTTTTCTAACCATCCTATTTGCCATAAAATTGGAACTATATTCGTAAATAAGGCGATTTTATTATCCAATCCATCATTTATAAAAAGAACCTAAAACTTGTTATTATGATTTTTATCAATGATTGAACAATGATTATCCTTTGAAAATGATTTTCAATCATATCAATAAAAGGATTAAAAATTTAGTCAACAAATCTAATTTAGCAATTAAGACTAATAATTCAAATATCGAAAACGAAGATGAGACAATAAAGAACATGATTATATTTCCTTATGTTAGATCGATCATGAACAAAATTACTAATATAATAAGATAAATCAAAAACTATGACAGGGTGTCAACAAATTAGATAAATTTATAAAGACATACAAAGATAAAAACCAACGTCTAGATAATAATAATGTAATCTATAAAATTAATTGTAATGATTGCGATGTTTCTCGGAAAAACGAAGAGACAGCTCTGAACTAGAATTAAAGAGCAATCATCGAAATAATGTAAGATTAGATCAATCCAAACACTCAGTGATCACAAAATACATTATTAGGCTCAATCATAGCTTTGACTGGAAGAATGTTGAAATTTTAGAGTATGAGACAAATTTTCGGAAAAGAAACATTTATATAAAGGGACAAAAAACGATATAAATTTAATACTGAGTTATTGGAAAAATCTTATTTTAACATATTTGACATACGCGAACATATTTTTTAACATTTTAGAACCTACTTGTTTACTTCTTGACATCGATACATACTATGACCTACAAGATCAGTCCATTCCAAATCGTCTAACAATCAATATCGTTTTATTATACACGAGGATACAATTTGAAATTGATTAAATTGATTGTTTTATATAAATTAACGTAAGTGAAAAATAAATTTTTATTAAAATTGAATTAAATATAATAATCTTTTAATAAGAAATTGACATTTAATTGTAAAATATAATAGGATAGTGAAGAAATCCTCGTAATGACGCTTTATATGAAATTGTTAACTGAGCTGATTCTGGATAATAACCGAAAAACTAGTTAAATATAATTTTACAATTATGGAATTTCAAACTTCTGACTAATACAAATTTTGATTCGTAATACTTAACGCAGAAAAAAGTAAATAAGATTAGAGCGATAATTTTTATTATGTACGTATAAGTTAGTTCGTTGATATTGGAAGGAGTTACATAAATACGTTATTACGAAGACTTTGTAAGTCGAAACGTTCGTGAAGTTTTAAATTTATAACATTATACGAATGTAATAAAAGATGAACTTTAACTATATTTGCTCATTTAAAAAAAATCTTGACATTTAAATTTATTGCGTTGCATTTACACGAGCTTACTTTCCTATATTAAATAATGTAAGTAATAATGTAAGTCCTCGCGTTATATCAGAACTCCTC